ATGGGCCTTCATTCCCAAAATAGGCACTCTTACCCACATGATTCCCGCGTACGACCTCGTTAAAGTTTTTGGCAGGTAAGCTGCTAGCTCGGGCACCAGGGAAACTAGAAAGCTGAAATTTTAAGGAGATGTCTTTCGTTCACGCAGAACTTAATGAGTTCAAACCCAGCGCCCAGATGTGCATGGTTCCCACGTATAGGCCCATGAAAATTTTTGGCGGGTAAGTTGCTAGCTCGGGAATCAGAAAAACTAGAAAAACTGAAATTTGAAGAGAATCTTTTCTAACAGCCCTAGCAGCCTGTTCTAGTTCTTCTAGCTAGAAACACCTGACGGAAAAAACAGTGCCGTTAGCGGCAAAAACCAACGAGGAGGTATACAAAAAACGCTTCTTCGCACTGACCAATTATTGTTTTGGTATAAAATAACTTGTTATCTACTGTTACGAAAATTAAATGCAAGCCTTTTCGTCCTTTGCTTCTTCCTTCTTCGTCCTACAGATTTTTCCTTCTGAACTATGCCAGGCTGTCCTCTCCTAGTATAAAATTCCCTGTTTTGTATTTAATTTAAATTTTCATCAGTTTTCGAGTCTATATTATCTTGTACAAACTCAGTACAACTTTTTTCTTTTTCCCCCTTCCCCAAAAATAGAAATTTTGGGTTCCAATGCTGGCTAAACGACGATAACGCTGAATGGAGAAAAACGCTTACTTTCACGTTAAACAAACATCCAATATTCGAGGTCCACCGGTCCTGAGAATGCGAGAGAAGGGCTTGAGGCTCAAGTCAAGTGGTCCTTCTTCTGTTTCGCTGATGGCGCAAGGAAAGTACTGCACTTCATCATTCTCTCCCTTTGCATCATTTCCGCCGACCCAATATGGGTTAAGCAAACACAAATTGCAAAATTCATCTCTTCCACTTTGTCTCCCGTGTACATTTTTCTGGATCCAAAAGTGATGATTTTCACATAAAACGTCGCATTTCAAAATTTGGTTGAACCAGAGACAGGAGCACTTTTTGTTCAGTGGAAGGAAATTCGATTCTTACTGAAGGGGGCATTCCAACTCTGGAAATGCATCTTTTTTTCACTGAAACCCGAATGGATTTTTACAATGAAATCGTCATTACATTTAAAGCCAGAATTAGAAATTGGCTCCTTAGATACTCTGTGCAAAAGTGGAGTCATTCAGAAATAGCCAGAGTAATACTACTTACTAATAATAAGCTCTCAGTGGCTCATCTTTTCACAGTTTCTTCAAAACTAAG